GCCTCAGGGACGCGGCCCCGCCTTGGGGGAGTGCACCGTCCAAGCCGCGGACTCTGCCCCGGCCCCCGAACTTTCTCCCATCCGGACCCGGGCCCGCCGCAGCAGCCGGAGCCGAGCCCTGCTTCCTAAACGTCTCCAAGACATTTCTGCCCTTTCGCAGGCGTCCTCCGGCCGGCTGGGACACCGGGCCAGGTTTACAGTCCCATCTCCAGGCTTGAGCCAGAGAACATCCACGGCCCTTCACCCTTGGGGCCCGCGCCTACCCCGCGCCCAGGACTCCTCCAGGGCTCCCCGCTTCCCCCACGATGAAGTCCAAACTCTGTATCAGGGCTCACGGGCGCGGCCCAATCCAGCCTTTCTCCAGGACCAGGCCACTCACCTCTTCCTCCCAGTGTCCCTCTATCGCGGGACCCGCAGTGCCTCGAACTTGCTGTCACCTCTGGGGTTGGCCTGTGCTGTCCCTTCTGCCCCGCTCCCTGTCACCTGGCACTTTCCCTGCGTCTTTCAGACTGCATCTTCTTCCGGGCAGCTCCCCACCCCGACTGGCTGGGTGAGGTGCCGTCGCAGTCGTCCGTATGTAGGTCGTCCTGGAGTATTGTGATTGCCTGGTTCCTTGTTGGTCCTCTTGACACTGCCAGCCTGGCAGTGGGGTGCCCTTATCTGTGCTTGTGGACGGAATCGCTGGACTCCGGATGCCAGCGGCGCCTGCCAGTGAGTGAGGCACCTGGGAGTTCTCTGTCCAGTCTGAAGCCCGTCTCTCAGGGCACACTCAGTGACATCCCTAAAAGACAGTGGGAAGCCCCAGGGTTATGTGCCCTGAGATGAGACTGTCCTCCCTCCATCAGGCCTGGTAGACTGTAGCTTCCTCCTTTTCCCTTTGCCCCTGGTCCTTTGTCCATTCGTTCTGCCACCGTTAATTGAGCAAGCACAGCTGTCCTTCCCTCATGGAGTTTCTGTTTGGTTTGTGGGTGGGGTATGGTTGAACGTGTAAATATAAGCTGGAGAGACAGATCTGGAATCATGAGCGAGGGGGTGGGGCTGACTGTGTTTGAAAGGGCACTGGAAGGGAGATCTGAAGGGTGGCTGGGACGAGGGGCAAGGGCTGTCTGGTGAAACAAGGGGGACTGGGTGAGCTGCGGCTCTGAGGCAGGAGGGGGCAGTGTGGCTCGTCTGGGGAGAGCCGGGCACAAGATGAGTGAGGCTGAAGAGGGTGGCCGCAGGCCTGCTGCAGACTGGCAGGCTGTGGCGAGGAGTTGGGTGTCTGTCCTGAAAGTAGTGGGGTCACTGGGGCACTCCAAAAGGGAGACTGGGTGATCAGATTTGTGTTGTGAAAAGGTCTTTCGGCTGCTAAGGGGTGGATGGCCTGGAGTGGGTGATGGTGGCCAGGTGGCTACCAGTGAGGATGGAGACTAGGCATGTACCAGGTGTGGGTCGGGGGCAGAGGTAGGGTCAGCAGGCCTTGTGAAGGGTGGTCTGAGGGTGGAAGGAGGTGTCAAAGATGACATCCAGGTTTCCAGCTTGGTCAGTGGAACCTTGTCTACCTTGCTGTGACCGTTCATCCTCGGGTTGCCGGGGGCCTCCCACCTGCCCACTGGCTCTCACCAGCTCTTCGTCTCGAGACCAGCCTTCCCTGTGCCGCCCAAACTCCTGGAGCACCAGGGAGTGTCACCTGTTGGCACCTGGATCTCTTTGAGGATGTCTTGGAGCAGCCTCAGTTTGGAGGAGGGCATTTGGCGCACTGTGCAGTGTTGAGCAGTATCCCTGCCTCCCTCCTCAATGCTACTACACTCTTCTGTTCCCAGTCATCACCACTGGAAAAGTCCCCAGGCATTGGCAAGTGTCCCCACGGGCAAGTTCGCCTTCCTCTGAGAACCAGTATGATGGACTCTCCCTCTGAAAATACTTGCACGCAAAGTGCATATCCCACCTCAGAATCTGGGGACTCCTGGAGGCAATTGGTGTCCCCACCTTAGCTTTCATGGCCTCTCCCACTCCCCTCCGTGTGCCCCAATCCGGGTGACTGTGGGATGTGGCGTATCGTGGCCCTCGGTCTCCAGTCACAGGTCTGGAGGGAGCAGGTGTGTGTCTGGGCCTCAGACTGCTCTGACCTGCTCTGAATCTGAGTGTCCCTGGCCCGGTGGTTTTCAAAGGCTGTGGCCCCGAAACAGAACATTCTCAGGTGCTCTGCTGCCTGGAGCTGAGTTGTGAGTGTGCCCTCTCCCTCTTTCGGCCTGTAGGAAAAACGTGGTAAGCGAGTGGGTTTTGCTCAAACTTTTGTATTTCCTTCCAGTCTCTGTTGGCAGCTCCGTATTCGGTTGCTGTTGCTTTAGCAGTTTAGCTGTGGTCTGTTTCAGAGCATGTTTCACAACATTCTGCAAAAGGGAGAATGTCTGTTTTTCTCTGCCTCGTGGGGCCCTCCACTCACCCCTCATCTCATTTGCTCCCTCTGTGAGGTGAGTGGTGTCTGCATTGACAGATGAGGAAACTGAGGCCGCAGACCCTTAAGCTGGCAGAGCTGAAGGGAGCCCAGGCTCTGCGGCCTGGGCCTGGCCCCAGTGGGGGAGAGAGCCTTTGTCCAGGCGCAGCGGGTGTCCCCAGCCCCAGTGTGTCCTGCTTTTGTTTCCAAAGCCTTTGTTTGTTGTATTTCCTTTGCTTGGGCTCCTGTCTCCGGATGTCGCCGTCCTGCATCCTGCACGGGGCTGGTGGCTCTGTGAGCACTCTCCTGGGTCCCGGTGGTCAGCAGTCTGTCCTTGCCTTGGCTGAGCTGTGTCACCTGGGGGTGGCAGATGAGATGGGCCCCGGGGAGTCTGGGCCAACTGTGTGGACAGAGGTGCGGGGGGTGACGGTGTCCCTGGACCACAGGCGGGAGCTCTGTGGGGGACAGCTGGGTGCGTCGGGTCTGATAGCCCAGTGTAGCCTGCAGGCTGAAACTGGGCTGATGAGTGGGCTTAAATGGCAAGAGTTAGTGCCTGCAGGTAGAGGAAGAGTGGTAGCAGGCAGGGGCTTGGTCAGGTTTGGGTCCCACGAAGGTCACTCGGGAGGTGTTGGTGCCCAGGGAGGGCAGGCTGGGCCCAGAGGCCGGAGGCTGTGGGTAGAGTGGGCTGTGGGGAAGGCCAGGGCTCGGAGTCCATGAACCTGCATCTCACTGTCCCCCTGCAGGACTTCCCTCTGCACGACGTGGACACACGAGGCTGCCAGGCTCCCGAGCATTCGGCTTGGACCACGATGG